GTATTGGTGCTTTTAGTGTTCTGGATGTTCTGGCCCAAATTTCTTCGGTCTTCATCTTGGATTTGGTTGTATTGGAGACGGAATGAATAGTTGAATTGCAAATGATTGGAGCAGAGTACCCAGTAGAGGTGTAGGCGTTAACTGTCTATAATCGGTCCGTACACTTGAATCTGTGAGATCAACGTGATCTACTGATGCTCGGTTCATTATACTTTGAAATAGTTTTAATGTTGATTTTTATTTTTTTTGTTGAAAGTGAAATAATTCAGATAAAACTTTAATAATTCTAAATGACGTGAACATATAAGTTTGTGGTGCGTCTATTTATTTTTGTGAATGAAATATAAAAATTATAATATTGAAATTATTTGTGATGGTATTGATATTATTTTGCATGATCTATTTATCATTTATGCTGGATTAATAATTGTAGGTGGTGTTTAATTAAAATATGTGACAAAATAATTTATTTTTTTGACTAAATAATTAATAAACTGACTTAATAATTATTGAAAATGGTGGGAATTGAAAACCCAGTGAATAACACTGTATACAAAAAATAATTGTGTAATTATTTAATAATTATACACTAAACATATCAAATTTAACAATTAATCACATTCAAATTAACAAATAAATAATGATTGTTTTAAATGACGTTTATTAAAAATAAATTAATTAAGGATGTTGTACAGTTGGCTAAAAAAGTCGGAAACCAAATAATTGAAAGAAGTAAAGCAAATAGTTTTAAAACTCTTTAATAAAATAGATTTAAATGTTAGAGTATTATTTAGTGAACTTATTCCATCCTTTTTCCTTTTAATTTAATAAGTAATTGATGGGAAATACGTCCTTCTGAAAATTATTTGGCTAACTGAATATCTTAGCATGTAATTTTAATTAGAATCTAGTTTTATTAACATTTAAAACATGGGACATGTTTTTTGAAATGATATGGAATTTATCATATTGTTTAACTAAGTTTGATATTTTAAATACATTTTTATGTGTTACAGTTTTTCTAACAAGCCTTATGGAAAAAGCCTGCCTTCTGAGATAGTTTTTCCATTATTTCTATTATATAAACCATATATAAATTATTTATATTATTAACAAATTGGTTATTTGCTCCAAATTAAAACATTATTCCAAATAATGTTTTAATATTATTTGGAAAATATATAAACTATTGATTATAAATTTGTTATGATTAAATTAACTATTTTTTGAAAAAAAAATCAGAAAGAAAGTTTTTTAATAATGCTAGATTAAGTGACTGTAATATTATTTGTATTTAAGAGTGTTAACGTGATAGGGCGTTTCCACACGGAAATGGTGAATCCCTGCGGATTGGATTATTTTGTGTGGATAGCCTCTTATTTTTTTGTCGAATAAACCCAAATATTCGTTTGAACCTATATGTTATGATTTTTAAAATTAATAATTGTTATTTATGATCATTTATGGGACAAAAATGATACACAAACATAAATACCCCCATAAGGAGTGTTTCCAACATTTGCAATAATTTTATAGTAAGAAAAACCGCTATTTTCAGCCTTTTTTGAAGTGGTAAAATAAGAATAGATCAAAATGAACAAATAAAATTACTAACAAAATTTACGTGTATTATCTCGTTTATTTAATATATGTAACACTATTTTTTCGTTTTTTTAATTGAAAAATCATTTCAAAAGTGATTTATGTGATTTAAATTTTGGAAAATTCCCGTTTTTTGCATTAAAAAATATTTAATTTTAGTATCAATTTTAAATGATATTATTTTATTGTTAATCGTGGCTCAAAAATGCGTTTATTATCACTTTTTACTAATAGTATTGTAATTTATATAAACACTCCATTAGTTTATTATTTTAATAATAATATTTGGGAATTGAAATATGTTGATATGCCCTTTTAGTTGGCGCAAATTATACGTAT